CTCTAACTTTTCAACTCCAAAATTTTTAGTTTAGTCTAATGGACTTTTAACATATCTAAAACTCCAGAGAGATATATAATAAAACTTAATTCTCGTAAAGCATATTTACGTATTACTGTTTTAGGAATTATAATGTTAAATTATAAAGGTATTCTAACACATTTTGAGCAGTATTTTCTTTATGTTTATGTTTTTTTAATTGTAATTTATGTAAAAATACGAAAAAAGGAAATGAAAATAATAAAGATATTTATCTTATATCTGATATTTAAAAAAATCGTAAAAGAAATTCACAAAAATATAAAAATTGCAATGGAAATGTATCTTTAGATCCCATCTAGTAGATATTTATTGCAGTAAAGATTGTGTAAAGGGGTCAAATTTGAATTATTTTGTTGTTTTTTCTATGGAAGAAAACTGTATTGTTCTTACTGCTAACAAAAATAGAAAAGTTTTTTTTTTCTTATTTTACTTATATTTTCTTTTCTCATTTGAAAACATATTCTATGTTCACTTTTGCTTTCAAGAACTTCTGTCAAACTTGTTTTCAAATTCTTCATGTCTGTCTTTGTCATAATCTTATAATGCTTGTTGCTTCTGTATTTTAAAGTTCCATACTTCAGCGTTGAATTTATATTAATGCAAAATTGTTGTGACACTCGAGTATATATCAAAATCATTTTATATACGTTTGTATAAAAATAATAAATAGCAATCCTTTACCTTTTTAAATAAAATAATATTTTTCAGTATATAATGTAAAATACTTCGCGATATAAAGAAAAATTATTGAATTTAAATGCTTAAATTCCGTGTAATGCATTTAATATTGATGGAAATTTTCGAAATAAATTATTTTATTTATTATTTATAATTGTAGAGTATTTATTTATAATGTAGAGTATAATATCTTTAATTTACTTTCCATAATAATAAATTGTTTTTCATTAAACTTATTTTACATATTTCCTTATCGAGAAGAAAAAAAAATAAAGATATTTATTTATTTTATGACTTAAAAATTAAGTAAATACTAATATTTACTTTCCTGAAGAAAAAAGTTATGATGAAAAAAAAAACATTATAAATTAACTAATGCACTAAAAATTAAGTAAATTATGAACTTAATCATTTTACATTTTTTTAAAATTTATTAAATTATTTTTTCTTAAGAAAAATTTAAATTTACATTTTAAATTTTAATTAATAAATATAATTTATTTACTTTCATTGAACTATACAAAAATTTCTTACTAAACTTCTAGTGCAATCAAGTGAATTCTTACATGAATCGTAGATATTTTTGGCTTCAATCAATTCTGCATACAGTGGTGCATAATGATGTGAAGAAGCACATTTTTCTTTGTAAAATTGATCGAACTTCTCGTTAATCTTCAAATCCTCTTCAATGCTTTTTTCTTAAGAACGGAGTCAGGATAAGAATAATATAATTGATATGGCTATGCATCATTCAAAATTCGAATTCTGAACACGACCGTTTCGATTTTTGTAAGAGAAATATATAGATTTATTGATTAAATTACAAAGGAAAAAAAAATGTTAAAATTATTGATTTTACGTGAGGTTTTTATTTTTTACTTTTAATTTTTTTATCTATTTAAAACATTTATAAATTTGTATAAATGCAAAAAATTTATTTATATTTAGTAAAAAACCGATTAAATTATCTTCATATTCAACTATAATATATGTAAAATGGTATTTATTTTGTTCTTTTTTCAATCATGTGTATCAAAGTAAGGAAACTGAACCAACCCAGGAAAAAAAAGTCGTCTTTCGCGGAACAAATTACTTCACATCAACGTTTCCTTTGGCGAATGCAAGCATTAAGGATATTGGAATAACAAAGGCGGATAATTTGTAGCAACATGCAAGATCTACATACATAATTCGTTTTTCACTTGCCACATCGTAAGCTTTCTTGCTCTTAGTTGCAGCTGTGTCCCTTGTCAATCACCGTTCTTAACGAACAAGTCAAGTTTAAGAAAGATGCTGAACGGATTAGCTTTACATGTTATTACTTTGATCGTTTGTTTTATTAACATTTTTAAAAACAAATATTCTAACCTTGGACATAGAATTTTATTCGTTTTTTTTCTATATAACTTGTAAACAGCGTTTCTATAATACAATTTACAAAATTAATTTTGCTAAGCAAAAATTGCTTAAACACGCAAATTATTCATCTACAAAATCTTTAATTATAATTCGATCATTTTATTATTTTTAAACTCAACTTCGTGACATTGTGTAAATTGTCACGAATTATTTCTTCGGAAATCAATTTATTTTACTCGTAGATCTAAAGCTTGATTAATATTAATAGAAGAAATTTTCGATGAAATTTCTAAAACAATTTAAAATCAAATAAATAATACGATAAATTTTTAAATAATCCATTTTTCATTGTCTTTACTTGAGTTTTATTTAATAGTAGAAAATTGAAATAATTAATTTCCTGAGTAAACTTGAAGCTAAATTCTTATAATTAATATTTTATTAAAAAGTATGATTAATTATTAATATTTCTTCTTATTTTTGTATAGGATATTAAATTGGTGAAATTTTTTCTGAATTTTTTTAAGTTTTGTTTGTAGAAAAGGCAGTATAAATATAAAGCCATCAGCAACTTAGATGACGACAAGTTTTAGTCTTTATCTCGGTAAATTTATGTAAAGTAAAACCCATTCAGTGCACCATTAAATTATTTTCATTAGGCTTTCCCGCAAAAGTTTTATTTTCCTCAGTAAAGTATTAAATGTTTCAGTTGTAAGTGCAATTCGACGTCATCTTTCAACTTTAAACTTTCTTTTACTGTATTATACATTAGATATCCAATTTAAAAAAGTTTTATTCTTTCCTGAGATCTATCTTTACTCAATTAAAAAACAAGAAAGAAAATCTATCGAAACGCAACTTATTAATACATATAAATAAACGATTCGGTAATATTTAAGTAAAATTTAGAATTTTTATAATTTTATTTTATAAAAATTTATAATTTAATAAACTGTAAAATATACAATTTGAAAGCTTTATTTGTTAATAAAAGAGAGGAGTAAAAAATAAAATCGTGCAATATCGTAAGAAAATAATTTGCAATTCTAAAAAGAATTGCAAATTTACAACGGATTTTGAAATTACATTTGAATAATGTATATTTAAATAATCAAATATTAAACAAGAATTGGTTGCAATATCGAAATGTAAGGCGTGAAATATTTGCTTAGTTAAAAACTATGTAATAAATCGATTTTCAGCTTAAGGGTGAATTTTTATATATATCAAAAAGAAGGAGGAGGAGGAAGAGGAGGAGGAGGAGGAGGAAAATAAAGAATCTTATGGGAGATGTAAGAAGTCTTAACGATGTTGATCCTTCGAAAGAAGCTAAATAACGATTTCTGAGTTAAGCGATGATTTTCAGTATAATCTCAACACCGTGCTAGGCTTAAGAAGGATCAGCTAAAGTCTTCGGTTGTAGCATTAATGACCATCTTTACTAGTATCCAGGAAAGATTTATCTTTCCGGTTTTAGTCAATACGAGTTTTCCTTTCACGAATTCTTTCTGATGAAAACTACTGAAGAATCATCCATCATTCACGACTCCAGACTATCGAAATGCTTTAAGGATGCCATGACGCCACTTCTGCCTAACTACTTCTTATTAAGTTGCAATATTAACCATGAAATAGCAGTGTTTTTACTTTTTTTCTAACGGTCTTCTAGAGTTAATTTTTTTCCCTTTTAGTAAAAGAAAAAAAGTAATTCAGCTTACATCTTAAAACATCTCGGATTACTCCTACGTTAATAGTCTAAAATTACTGAAATTTTTACTGTAACGTTATATGTTTATAGTTTTTAATGTAATTTTAAGAGTGTAAAAAAATTTAATTCTAGAAAATTAAACAAATGCATTAGTTGTCTCATTTCATATAGGCTATAACATTTTCTCTATCGGGAAGTTGATGCCTGGAAACAAATGAGAGTAGTTTTATCTTGGATGAAAAAATTAGAAAAAAATGTTGAAGCATTTTCGCGATAAACAGAATTGCAAGAAAACAAATCAATGCTTTCTAATCAGCAGAGCGACAATTTTAATCGTATTTTAAACTGATTCAGAACTACAAGAAAATATATCAATAGTGACATCTAAAATTTTGCTACAATTTTTTTTCTTTTTTAACTTTAAAATTTCTCTTAATATTCACCAGATAAAATCGATCTTTTCTTTTTTTCTCCCTTTTACAGAAAATGATGTATTTATTTTATTAATGAGAGAACTTAACGGTTGGAAAATTTTCCTCAGTTCAAGTGCCTACTTATAATTTTTTTTTTAATTTTATATTTAGCTACAGGCTAAAATTCAGCCGGTGTTCCACTCAAAAATATTGAATAGCACTTAAGTACGGTTGGTATCTGTTATATATCATTCTCAGAATGAGATGTACCAATTATAAATTTTATCAATTAAGAGTTTTCCCAATTATAAATTTAGCAGGTTAGACGATGGAGCAGTATATTTGTTCTTTGAATGTATATAAAGTTATTAATTATATATATAAATAAAAACGAATTCAGTTTATATTTTAAACATTTTAATACGATTTATAGAAATTTTAGTAAAGACAAAATTAATTATTATTTTTTTAAACGTTCATATATTTAAGGAAGAAAAAAATATTCTGTAATACTTTTTCTCCTTTTTTTTTATTTATCAACACTAATTTCAAAGATGAATACCGTCATAACAAAACAATTATAATAATTACATATTTACAAATACACAAAATTTCATACGATATATTTTAAATTGACGATATTTAAGTTTAATTATTATTAATTATATAATAACAATAATAATAATAATTAGATTAANCTTTCTTTTATTTCATTTTATGTGAGTGTCTAAATAAAATGGACCTGAATTATAAATACTGTAGCTAGTATAATTATATCGTAATAAATTTTGAAAATAAGTTTGATTCGAGAATGTCTGAACACGAAATTTATTAATATAGACTTTTTATGTTATCGTTCGACCTATTAATTTGAGAAAAGAATCATAAAGCTGATTAATATTCGATGTTAAAACAGAGCAGTTCAACGATACAGTTTAAGCACAAATACATTATATTGTACTATACAAATAGAACTGAGTTGAATTTCATCGATGCTATTTATCCACATCATATAGCACCTATCTTCTTTGAAGATACTAATTCTAAAAAACATTCCGTGACAACAAAAAAAGATATATTCTTTTTTTATGTTTCTTTCTTTCTTCTCAAAAAATACATTATTGTTTGGATATTTTACTTCACTCTTCCACTGAGTGTTCTTAATCTTGAAGTTTGTGCCGATCTCATATCTTGTTGTTTATTGGCCTTATTATCTTTGGTATATTTATTTCTTCTCCATCGTAATACCATAGTTAGGTAATCTGGCCAATCATCAGGTAAAAGTACAAGAAGAAAACCAACAACGATTAATATTATACCGGCCAATTTCATCCCATAAAACTTGATATTGTATCTATAAACATCGATTACTGAAAAATATATAATAAAAAAATATATTAGCAATTTTTAATATAAATATTATTCACTTTTCAAGAATAGTCGATAAAAAAAAAAAGAAAAATCATTAATTTAAGTGTAATTATGCTGGGTGACCGATAGTCAGTTAACCGAGATACAGCTCGGTTAACAGACTTTTGAGTCACTCCGTATTTAACATATTGATTCGATTTAATACTGTATAAATATTTTATATTTATATACTCTGTTCTTAGTTTTGAATAAATTAAGAAAAATCAGAGTACTCTTAAGCGTATGCCTTCTTTTTTCTGATTTATAATCTGACTCTGTCCTCGACGCTATCTTCGTGTATCGTATTGGTTCTCCACGATAATTGCCAGAATTTGATAAAATGACAAGTCAGATTTATTATCATCATTAATCATTTGCATTTTACAGTAGAAAGTCAGATCTATCAATGTTTTGTCATAAAAAAATAAGTGAATCTAAGTCGGTCTTATATAAGAAGTCCCTTTAACCATTTAAAAAGTACATTGCTGTCTTATTCAAATACTTTAAAACTTTACTCAAATAATTGATTTTTGGGTTACCTTCTATATAAAAATAACATCGAAATATTTTGTATATTTATATTATAATATTTTAGTATATTTGTTACTAAACAATGAATTAAAAGTAGCGAAGAGATGACTTTCAAATTCGCTTACAGTCGATAGAAATATTTTGAGCTTAAGGGAAACTGAACGTCATTTACAGTTCTCTAAGTCAAGCTGTTGCATACTTTTCCATCTTTAAATTTTTAGATTCACATTTAAAGAGAAATTCACTCATATCAAACATTTTCATTNCTATATAAAAATAACATCGAAATATTTTGTATATTTATATTATAATATTTTAGTATATTTGTTACTAAACAATGAATTAAAAGTAGCGAAGAGATAAAAGATAAAGATATTTTCTCATTGTTTATCTTTTTCAGTCTTTACAAGAGAAGAATTGGATTTGAAATAAAAATCAGGTATTGAAAAGACTTACACAAGTTAATGAAATAGAACATTCCTTCTTTTATATCCAATGAAGACATAAATAATGATAGCAATAAAGAACAAAATTGCCGCATTCAATTCTCATAGGGATATAACAATGAAGAAGGGGAAAGCATTTATCAATCTTGTATCTTAGATTATTAATTAACTCACAAGATTAAATGAAGTAAAGAATTAACAATAATAGCTGTAATATACTGTAGCAGATTTTAATACATAAAGATTTTTGAATGAAAATAAAATTCAGACTTTTAGCAGTGTGTATTTTCTTGATTTATGGCGTAATTTGTGTCTGGAAGCTAAAGAAAGGATAATAGGAAATTCGAGACACAGAAATATACAGATGATTCCTTTAAGAATATCTATTTAACATGATAATATTCTTCAAAGTATTTGATATAGTTAGATGAGATAATTTCCAGCGTACAAATTAAAAGTTTTATAAATTTTGATCATGCAAGATAATGATATATAATATTAAAAGAATCATAGTCGAAGAAGAAATAACAAAAAAAAAAAGAGAGAAAGAAAGAAACTGAAACAAAATTTGTATTAAAAGTAGAAAGTTTTAAAAATCACTGAAGCAACTGGCTTTGTACTGAAGTTAAAAAAAATAGAAGTTACTATTCAAACGAGCTATAAACATTCAATTATAATTTTTTTTTAATCTATTGAATTTTTGAATTTCTTAAATTCGTGTAAATGCTCATCCTATGCTATATTATGACGAACATATAATATGAATTTAGGAAATTCAACTACTGTACGTGAATATAGTTTCTCTACAAAAGTATCTTATCCCAATACATCTCTAGCATAAGGAAATCTTTATCAGAACTTTTACGCAATTGCGAATTTAGAAAGCGAGCAACGAGAAAACTGCACATAAATTTATAGGCCTATATCTTACGAAAATAGTGCTGTCTTTATCAGAAAGTTCACAGAAACATAACGAATGTATTGCTACTGTAGTATATCGTGACTATCAAGTCATTAATGTGAAAAATTATTTACGTATAATAATAATTATTAAAATTTTCACGGAATTTTTATTATGCAAATACTATTGTGATGTGTGCAATGAATGTAAAATATACTGTCTATGCAATATGCTTTAGTGTGTCAATTAGTATTGATTAATTAATTATGAGATGACTTCTGCTGTTAACAAACTTAGCATTCTATTGAAATTCTTTTTTGTGAAATGTTTGCATCAACTGTCGAGTTCTTAACTCTTCTAGTGTTTTGCTAAATGGGATACAATTTCTCAGAGGCTCTTGAAATTAATTTTTCTTTCCGCTTGATTTTCTCTTCTCTTCTTAAACAATAATCATTTCTGAAGCTTTCTTTTATTTCATTTTATGTGAGTGTCTAAATAAAATGGACCTGAATTATAAATACTGTAGCTAGTATAATTATATCGTAATAAATTTTGAAAATTTTAATAAAGATATTTGTGATTTTACTCTAAATAAATCAGGAAGTTTTAAGAAACCTTTTCATGTATTTCAAGCTACAGATATGCCAGTATAGTAATGTATTTATACATACACATAAATGTAACAGATGAGTTTTTGAATCTTGGATATCATAAAAAATTTAGAAGAAACACATGTCGTATATTTGAGAAATAAATGACCAAAACAAACCCTCTTTTCTGATAAATAAAGATCCAAAATCATTTTAGTGAATCAAGTTATATAAATAAACTCTCGCTATGAGCTACACAAATTTACACGCATATATACGTATATAAATTATGTAAATAACTTGAATAATTTCCTCCAATTTTGCATTTATATTTCATAAATAAAAGCGATTTGAGAAATATAAAATAAAACTAGAATATAGTAAATATCTTTATTGAATTTTGCTATTTTTATATTAAAATGTATATATATATATTAAGTATAGTTCTATCGATCGCTTAAATATGTGAAGCACATCAAAGTTGGCGTTAATGTAAAAATGAATTTAACAGATTAGAATAATTTTAGTCAGAGTAAATTAAAAAGAAAAACGTAAACAAAAAAACAAAAAAAAAACCTGAAATTTTAGAAAGCATTTGCACTGCTTAAATTCACAGTGGATACCATGCGATATCCCTCCAGAGAAGCTCAAGAATCAATTTTGAAAATACATACGCTTATTCTGCAATACCGAATAGATATAAAACTTAATTAAATACTTTACTAATAAAAAATAAGTTCATACATGATTATCAAAAAAGTAATTTTATATTAAAGTAGGCCTTTGGATGTTAAAATGGTTTTCCTCTGCTTTTCAATGAGGATTAATCTTTCTGTATGCGTTGTACCACCCTTTCTGTCACACCCAGTAATATATAAACTTCATTTATGTAAGGTGACTATCAATTTAATTAAAATAAATTAAAACATTACTTATTAGTTTTAAAATTAAATTATGATAATTTGCTTAATCTTGATGTAGAATAACTTTGAAAATTAATCGTTCCGGAACCATCATAAAAGCTTTCTAAAATACTTTCTGACGAAAATTACCAAAACTTGTCATGTTGTGAAAAATTAAATTATTTATAATAATGAAAGATCGCAAGAAACGTCAACATTATTAAATTTTAATTGCGTAAAATATATTTTTTTTAAAAGAGGAAAAGTAAGAAAATGTTCTATTTTAAGAGAAAATATATATATATTAAATTTCCATTATTATTAAAAAATATTTATATTTTCGGATCTAATGAAAAAACTATAGCAATTATTATATTGACAGTAGTTAGAAAATTAAACAATAAGTAAATGGTATCAAATATTTGCACTTATGGTAAAGTTATGTGATTTTCAGAGAAAAATCAACAAAGAATCTTTAGATATCAAATAGACTTCTGGCAATAAAACAGTGCAGACTTGAAAGGAAAGTTATATTTGTAGACTGGAGGGAGGAAAGAAATGGTGTTACATTACTCTCATGAAAGGTAATATTGAGGAATCTTACAAAAGAATATAGAGAAAAATCATTTCAGGAAAGTATTCTAAATTTATTTATTAGTTTCCCGGTTGAAATAACTTTGGCAAACATATTTTGACTTGCATATTCTGCTTATCCATAAAAATGCATATCCCAAGGACTAGAATTATTTTGAAGAAAATTCAATACTTTTTATAAAATTTTTATGCATGTTTTTTTCTGTACAGAAAACTTTGTTTCTATATTTTAATTCTTTCTCTGTCATATGGATGTATATAAGCATTCAGTCAGTATTTGAATGACGTTTCTGAAGATGAAAGTAGAAAACCTAGTTATGTTTAACTGAAAAATTGCGTTATGATGTTGGGATAAAATGTTAAACGAATTACTGATTCCAGATGAATTTCCCAAGAGAATTTAACTCCATCCTTCTATTTGTAAAAAAATGTAATGTTTTGTTAAGATTGTGGTTTTATTTTTATCTAGGAAAAAGAATAAACAAACAAACAAACTAGACAGAAATAATAATATTAAAAAATAATTATAGAAAAATTTAAATACATAAAATAAATTTTCTGAATGGTCAGCTTCTTAAATTTTATTTTTATTTTATTGTTAAGAACTGGAAATCATTATAAGCGCCAATAACTTATTCTGGAAGTAGTGAAGTAAAACTAATGCAAGCCATAATTATGGTTGTCACCAATTGTTGAGATAATTGAAGAAAATTGCTAGTTTAAAATACGCAGGTATTCTTTTCTGTCAGAAATTGGTCACGAAGATCATCTCCTTGATGAATATCATTTTTAAATAAGTTTCAAACTTTAAAGTTATTAATATATTCTATCGTGTTAGAATATTTATATTTGTACTTTAATTATCATTCGATATTAACAGGACTACAATTATATATTATTATTAATTATTATTAATATGAATTTTTCCTTTTCTTATAGTCTTAATATCAAAAGTTCGCTTAAAAATCCCTTTATTATAATCAAAATTCATAAAAA